AAGACAGTGTAAGACAGTATAAAACAGCGTCTTAAAGTTATCGTCTTAATCTTAGAAATAAAGATCACATAGACTGAAGGGAATTCAAAGAAATGGAGCGAATTCAAAGAAATGGAGCGTATTCAAAGAAATGGAGGGAATTCAAAGAAATGGAGCGAATTCAAAGTAATGGAGCGAATTCAAAGAAATGGAGCGTATTCAAAGAAATGGAGGGAATTCAAAGAAATGGAGCGAATTCAAAGTAATGGAGCGTATTCAAAGAAATGGAGGGAAATCAAAGAAATGGATTGAATTCAAAGAAATGGAGCGAATTCAAAGAAATGGAGCGTATTCAAAGAAATGGAGGGAATTCAAAGAAATGGAGCGAATTCAAAGTAATGGAGCGTATTCAAAGAAATGGATTGAAATCAAAGAAATGGATTGAATTCAAAGAAATGGAGCGAATTCAAAGAGATGGAGGGAATTCAAAGAAATGGAGGGAATTCAAAGAAATGGAGGAATTCAAAGAAATGGAAAGAATTCAAAGAAATGGAGGGAAATCAAAGAAATGGAGGGAATTCAAAGAAATGGAGCGAATTCAAAGAAATGGAGGGAATTCAAAGAAATGGAGTGAATTAAAAAAAATGGAGGAAAATCAAAGAAATGGCGAGAATTCAAAGAAATGGAGAGAATTCAAAGAAATGGAGGGAATTCAAAGAAATGGAGGGAATTCAAAGAAATGGAGGGAATTCAAAGAAATGGAGGGAAATCAAAGAAATGGAGGGAAATCAAAGAAATGGAGGGAATTCAAAGAAATGGAGCGAATTCAAAGAAATGGAGGGAATTCAAAGAAATGGAGTGAATTCAAAGAAATGGAGGGAAATCAAAGAAATGGAGGGAATTCAAAGAAATGGAGAGAATTCAAAGAAATGGATGGAATTCAAAGAAATGGAAGGAATTCAAAGAAATGGAGGGAAATCAAAGAAATGGAGGGAGTTCAAAGAAATGGAGGGAATTCAAAGAAATGGAGGGAATTCAAAGAAATGGAGGGAATTCAAAGAAATGGAAGGAAATCAAAGAAATGGAGGGAATTCAAAGAAATGGAGGGAATTCAAAAAAATGGAGGGAATTCAAAAAAATGGAGGGAATTCATAGCAATTGACGGAATTCAAAGCAATGGAGGGAATTCAAAGAAATTGAGGGAATTCAAAGCAACGGAGGGAATTCAAAGAAATGGAGGGAATTCAAAGCAATGGAGGGAATTCAAAGAGATGGATTGAATTCAAAGAAATAGAGGGAATTCAAAGAAATGGATGGAATTCAAAGAAATGGACTGAATTCAAAGAAATGGACGGAATTCAAAGCAATGGAGGGAATTCAAAGCAATTGAGGAATTCAAAGAAATGGAGGGAGTTCAAAGCAACGGAGGGAATTCAAAGAAATGGAGGGAATTCAAAGCAACCGAGAGAATTCAAAGCAACAGAGGGAATTCAAAGCAACGGAGGGAATTCAAAGAAATGGAGAGAATTCAAAGAAATGGAGGGAATTCAAAGGAACGGAGGGAATTCAAAGAAATGGAGGGAATTCAAAGAAATGGACGGAATTCAAAGCAACGGAGGGAATTCAAAGAAATGGAGGGAATTCAAAGCAACGGAGGGAATTCAAAGAAATGGAGGGAATTCAAAGCAATGGAAGGAAATCAAAGCAATGGAGGGAATTCAAAGCAACCGATGAAATTCAAAGCAACGGAGGAATACAAAACAATGGAGGGAATTCAAATCAATGGAAGGAATTCAAAGCAATGGAGGGAATTCAAAGCAATGGAGGAATTCAAAATAACTGAGCGAATTCAAAGCAATGGAGGGAATTCAAAGCAATGAAGGGAATTCAAAGCCATTGAGGGAATTCAAAGCAATGGAGGAAATTCAAAGCAATGAGGGGAATTCAAAGCAATGGATGGAATTCAAAGCAATGGAGGGCATTCAAAGCAATGGAGAGAATTCAAAGCAATGGAGGAAATTCAAAGCAATGGAGAGAATTCAAAGCAATGGAGGAAATTCAAAGCAATGGAGAGAATTCAAAGCAATGGAGGAAATTCAAAGCAATGGAGGAAATTCAAAGCAATGGAGGAAATTCAAAGCAATGGAGGGAATTCAAAGCAATGTAAGGAATTCAAAGCAACGGAGGGAATTCAAAGCAATAGAGGGAATTGAAAGCAAAGGAGGGAATTCAAAGTGAGAGTTACATAAAAGGTAGATGGGATTCAAAGTAACGACCATCTAAATCTAAGGAAATTCAAAATAGTTTTCTGAATTAAAAGTGAAAAATGTTTTTAATCAAAAGAGAATTCAAAGTAATAATGATCTAAATAAAAGGAAATTCAAAGTAATAATAATCTAAGTCAAAGGGAATTCAAAGTAATAATGATCTAAATAAAAGGGAATTCAAAGATATAATTATCTAAATCAAAGAGAATTCAAAGTAATAATGAATTAAATCAAAGAGAATTCAAAGTAATAATCATCTAAATCAAAGGAAATTGAAAGTAATGACGATCTAAATCAACCACTATTGTAGTTCCTGTCAACCACTATTGTAGATCCCCCATCAACCACTATTATAGGTTCCCACTAGCTCTCAAAAAGCCATTAGCACCCATAAAAGCCACCAGCAACCAGAAAGCCACTAGCAAAAGAAAGCCACCAGCAACCACAAAGC